GTTCTTGATTGAATTTATAATATGTTACAATCGCATATATGATGGAGGCCTTCCTTGTATATGCTTAGAGCCTAAATAAACCTCCCTTGTGTTGAAAATCCTAGTTCACCCTTTTGAGCCTTTAACCTGTCTTTTGGTAAACTTCAATCCAAGCCTTACTGAAAAACCATGACACCTTTCGAAATAAGAAAGAAGCAATTTAAGTTTAACCAAAGATGATTTTCAGAATTAAGTTTGGGGTGACATGTTGTAATATTGTGACATTGCTTGAGGACAAGCAAAGTTTTAAGTTTGGGGTGGGTAACAACAAAGTATGAGTCATTTGAAAAGAATGATTGAATGAAAAAGCAAAGTATTGAAAAGAAGAAATAGGAAAAGTGAAAATTAGAAAAGAAATTCGTACAGAAAATTCAGAAAATAAAAAGCACTTGAAATATTTCAAAAACTCAGAAAATACTGTGCAGAAATTGAATGGAAGAAAAGAGAATGCAATCTCATGCTAAAATTCTGAATATCATCTACTTGGATTGCATCTTTTCTGTTTGGCATAACCTGCATTGTTTCCAAATTCTTTGAACACCTACCTATCCTTTAACCTCAATTTCACCTGAAAAGTCCTCTTGATATGTGATTTGTTACATTTTTTTGAGCAGATTGAGAATTTATGCAAGCCTATGGTAGAGTGTAGTAAAAATGATGATTTTGAGAGCAAATACTGAGCCTAAACACTAATTGAGTGATGAGGGAAACACTACTTTTGAGCTATGAATATATTTTTTTAATTTTGCTCATATGAAACTTTGCTGAATTACATGAATTCAAATGGCATGTTTTTGTTGATTAAATGGTTAAAACAATGTAATGATCATGCTGATCAATGGATGAATAACTTGACTTGGATGAGAAATCAGAAAGATAAAGAATTGGGTATTAGAAATGTTGAAAAATCAGTTTGATGATTGAATTCTTGTCAATTAGATTTTTCTCTTTCCCTTTTGTTTGATTTGATTTGATTTGCTTAAGGACAAGCAAAATTCTAAGTTTGGGGTGGTGATAAATCCATATTTTACGATGTTTTTAGCATAGCTTTTGGTTAATAATTAGGAAAATAGTTCTAAAATAAACTTAAAAAGATCACAAAAATTAAATAATTAGTATAAATTGTTGTTTTGTTGAAATATTAAAAATTGTTTAGATTTTTTGTAGCAGTTCATGCAAAAGATAGAAAGTTGTTGAAAGTGCTTAAAGGAAGGATTAAAAGCAGAAATTAAAGAAGAAAAGTCAAAGAATCAAGCTTAAAGAAATCCTAAGAGCTTTGGCGCGTAACTAAGAGTTGCAACTCACATCACTTGCAGCCAAGGCGCGCAACTGCGCGGCTTCACTCTAGTCACTGCGCGTTTGGCGCAAAACTCTGCAATTTTTATAACTTCTTCTTCTCGCCAATTCTAGACGTTTGGAGCTTTTGTATCACTTTTAGAAGATTCCAGAACACTTGGGGATAACTAACTTTCAAAATTCCAAGTGTTAAGTCGAAGAATTAGAGGAACTCTATAAATAGGAATTAGAAACTTAGAAAAAGGGCTTTTTGTCATTTTTAGTTTTTGGTATTTGATGAATCCACTTTTTATTATATTTTTACTTGCCTTTTTGGTGCTCTTTGATAGAAAAAATGGACTTAGATAGTGAAAATAATATAGAAATCACATTTTGAGTAAATATCATAGGTTTATTAATTTTTGGTTAATTTGCATTTAATTACATAGATATAGATTGCAATTTTAATTATCTTGATGATTTTGCAGAGTGCCCAAGTTAAATTTGAGAAATCTTGGTCCTTGGATGAAAGTTGCCCCCAAAGTAGCCACTTTTAGGAGCAAAAGTGGCAACTACAGCAAGTCTGGGCATTAAAGGTTCCAAAGTAGCTACTATCAAGCCCAAAAGTGGCAACTCCAGAAGCTCCAGGGACGCCAATTTTGAAGCATTTCTACGCGTGGACACTATTGGCTCTCATAGTAGCCACGCACACCAAAGTAGCCACTTTCAGCACAAATAGTGGCAACTCCAGAAGCTTCAGGACGCTAATTTTGAAGCATTCCTGCGCGTGGCCACTATTGGCTCTCATAGTAGCCACGCGCACCAAAGTAGCCACTTTCAGCACAAATAGTGGCAACTCCAGAGAAGTGGCAACCCTTCCATCCTGCGCGTGGACAATTTCAAGGCCCAAAGTGGACACTTTCAAAGGCAAAAGGGGACACTTTGGTGACATGTCATACACTATAAATAGATTTTAGGAATTAGGGTACGGGACTTTTGACACTGTACACAATTTTTCTTTGCGAAATTGGGATAATTTCTTACGACATTGGAGTCTTGGGTGACAGCCAAGGGTCCTCTATAGGTTTTAATTTCCAATTTCTCTTTTGATTTTTGTTGAATTTACATTAATGATGTTTACATTCTTGCATTTCTTTCTCTCTTTTGTGAAGCCCATCCACATGGAGGGCTAAACTTCCTTGTAATTCCTAGTCAATGCACATGAATCTTGAATTCTTGGGATTAATTGTAATACAAATCTTTCTTTCCTTGAATTTATTGACCCCAATCTTTGAATGAAATGGAATTTGCATGAAGGGAACATTGCTTAATGAACCCTAAATTACCCAACGAAATTCTAATTCAAAATTGCTTAATTTTGATTAATCCTTGAGGTTGCTTAATCTTAGGGATAGAGATTGGAGCCCATTAAGATGCTTAATTTTAATTGGGATGTTAAAGTTAATTTTCGCTTGTTAGATTAACTTAATTCAAGGGAAAGAAAGGGGATTATTGAATCATTTGAAAGAATAATGATGGAACTCATTGATTGACTAGGAATTACTCATTTTAATTGATTGAATTTCACTAGTTTACACTTTACTCTTGATTAAAATCTGAAAATTGACAAACCTCCCCCCAATTTACTTGCTTTAAAATACATGTTTACACTTGTTCGATGTATGTTCCCAACCAAAAATTCCTTGGAGACGACCTAGGATAAGATCCTAGTACTGCATTCATTTCTTTGCATATTTGATGAGGATTAACGACAATCTTTTGCATGACGAATAGCTAAAATTCGTTTCATCAGTATTCAGTTGTAACCGTTTTAACTTCCAAGGGAAGTCAGAGGGAGAAAAGAGGAGCGACTTTTGTTCTTCTTTGCTAGAGGAATCTGGGAGAAGACAAAGTTATGGAGATGGCTCTCTGCTTTTCATCTTCTTTTCTTCTTGCTTCTCTTCATTTCATTGTAATGTGTTTCTAACTCTTTTTGTTAGGGATTTATGGATCTAGAATTGATATATTGATTTCATTTTGACTCTGAACTTTCAGTATTTGATTTGATTGAGGAATTAATTCTGTGTTTACTTGATCTTTGAATGGAAATTCAATTGATTAATCAAAAAGTAACCTTCACTAATGGAAATTGGGTTTGTTGCTTGGATCTGAATTAATTCCCAAAACTATTGATTTTCTTAGGAATAAGTGATCTTAGTTTTGCAATCTTTTGGTTCTAATTCGTAATGCAATATTGAACTAAATTTGGCCTAAGAAATTAGGGAGATTTGGTTAAATATTAGGACCAATGAATTGAGGAATCAATCTTTGGTTATTGTAAAGAGAAACCGATTGTGAATCAATCAATTGCTTGAATGTTCAGAGGCAGAACTGAATTGATCTTGGTATTCTAGTGAAATAAATTCCTAACGTTTCTTCCATTCGTAATTCATTCAAATATTACAAATTAACATTCTGTTTTAACAATATCTCATTTCTTTAATTCTGAAATTTAATTTCTTGCATATTGAAATCTGTTCAATGAATTGTTTGGTGCAAATGGTTATTATCTTGTGAATTGGTGATTAAAAATAAGATCCTAGAGGACGATACTTGGGACTCAATTTGAGTTCCACATTTTACAACTTGCTACAACTACCTAGTACACTTGCTAGTAGTGAATTACACCATTTAAGTACTATGATATAGAAAAAGTGTAACAAAAAGCCTATTGACTCAAAGAAAAAGCTCAAAGCATGGGCTCAAAATATTGCTCATCAACTTCCCTTGGGATTCCATGAGGTCTTCCTTAGTATAGATAGTTACTAATTAGCTACAGCAATACAGATACAACGTGTGACAACCTGACTCCTTTTAGCAAAAGTATAGTTAAGAGTTAAGATCAAGAAATGAGTGTGAAGCTTGTGGTATTTTTATGCTAATCAGTTATGCGCAATCAAGAAAAACATCCATCACCCTCATTTTCCCAAGATTTTCAAAATAACTTCCATCTTCCACACTTCCAGTATATCTCTGAACTATCTATACTTATCATTATCAGTTTTCATTTCTCATTATAATTTTTCTCTTTTTCATTTCTCATATCATAAATTTGTCACTTTCATAATAACATATTTTCCATCCTTTTCTATTTCCATTTTATTCAAGTCCACTTTTTATATCATATATCAATCAGCTGTACCGAAGGTTAGACTATAACTTCCTAAATTTTGTAATATTATTTTGATTAGTAATATAAGTATGTGGATTATTATTTCAATGTGTGTGTTGATTTGTGTGTTAATGTGAATGTGTGTGTGTGTGTATGAGTATGTATTGTGTGGTGAATTGAGATGGAAATGTTGGCTTGTTTTTGGGCTAAAATTGATTCGAGAAATAGGCTAAGGGTGAATTGTAGGGGCATTCCTGTTGTAGCGAGAAAGTCCTGGGTGAGTGGTGTGCATCTGTTATGTTCTCGTTGTAACGAGAGGCTCATCGCTATAGTGAGAGGGCAACAGAGGAGGTGCATTTACCCTTGACAAAGCTAACTCATAAGGGGAAGGAGTTTAAGTGGAGCAGAGAATATGAAGCTAGTTTTGTAGAGTTGAAAGGGAAGTTAACCTCACCACCTATGTTAGTTCTATCTGATCTGGAATGGAAGTTTGATGTATATTGCGATGCACTAGGCATGGACTTAGGTGTGTTTTGATGCAAGACAAGCGAGTGGTTGCCTATGCCTTGAGGCAGTTGCATCCATACAAAGCCAACTACCTGACACATGACTTGGAGTTAGCTACGGTGGTTTTTGCTCTTAAAGTATGGAGGCACTACCTTTATGGAGTAAGGTTCGAGGGGTTCGAGGAGTTCAAGGAGGTGGATGGAATTCCTCAAGGACTATGATTTCACATTATCTTACCATCCTGGCAAAGTAAATGTGGTGGCTGATGCATTGAGTAGGAAGTCATTGCACATGGCAACAATGATTTCTTAGTACACGTTTGAAGGAGATGGAGCTAATTGAGGAGTTTTGAGACATGAACTTGGCTGTAGAGGTAAGGCCAAAGAGTTTGTACCTCAGGACGATGACAATCCACAATGATTTCTTAGTACACGTTCGAAATGCTCAATAGGGAGATGTTTTCCTACAAGACATGATGAGGCAAAAGAGTGAGGGGAAGGACTTGGAGTTCCACTGTGATTGCATTCCCTAAGTGGATGAGTTGAAACAGATGATACTTGAGGAGACGCATAAGAGTAGAGTGAGTTTTCATCTCAGTGCGACCAAGATGCATCAGAACCTCCACAAGAACTTTTGATATAACAGAATAAAGAAGGATGTGGCTAAGTATGTGTCGAGATGCTAGACTTGTCAGAAGGTGAAGGTGGAGTACTAGCATCCACCTGGGTTGTTGCAACCCTTGGAGATCCTTGAGTGGAAGTGGGATAGCATTTTCATGGACTTTGTTTTTGGCTTGCTGAGGACCAGAAACAACCATGATGCTATTTGGGTGATAGTGGACCATTTGACCAAGACTGCACACTTTCTTCCGATCAACATGAAGTATAAGTTGGAGCGACTAACAGACATGTATGTGAGGGAGATAGTCAGGTTGCATGGAGTACCAACTAGTGTGATATTTGACAGAGACCCGAGATTCACTTCGAAGTTTTTGGAGAGCCTGCAAAGGGCGTTGGGCATTAAGTTGAAGCTTAGTTTGGCATATCATTCACAAACTGATAGTCAAACTGAGAGGACTATTCAATCTCTGGAAGATTTGCTGAGAGCTTGTGAGATTGAGCAATAGGGAACTTTGGAAGAATGCCTACCATTGGTGGAGTTCATGTACAACAATAGGTATTCCTGCTGTAGCGAGAAGGTCCTGGGTGAGTTGCGTGCATCTGTTGCATTCTCGCTGTAGGCCAGAGGCTCCTCGCTGCAGCGAGAGGGCAATAGAGGAGGTGCATTTTTTGGGGTGCAATCTCGCTATAACAAAAGGATCTCGCTGTAATGAGATATGTAGAAACCAAATTGCAGTTTGGTCTGATATTTTTGCTGTAGCGAGAAGGAGTCTTGTTGTAGCGAGAGTGCATCGCTATATCGAGAGATGTCTCACTATAGTAAGAATATCACGACTCTTAGGGTATTTGAGGGGTTTAGGTTTTGGAAAACTCATTTCCCATTCCTTTCTTCGAGCCCTCTTTCGATTCTCTTGATGAGTTCATATTTTTACTGATATTTTTGCATAATTCTAACTCATTTGATAAGGAAAATATATGAAGAAAGTAGAAAAACTCAGAAAAAGAGAATGATTTGAAGTTTTCTTTTAGTTAGTAGTTATTTTAGCAATTGTAGAATTTTTGCTTAGAAATTAAGTTTTTAATCTTGTCTTTGAAGGAATAATTCGAACAAGGTTCATGGAAATGGAGGCTTGATGAAAAGGAAGAGGAAAGTAGCAAGTTTGGACTCCAAAACACAAGAACAAGGAAATGCAGGCTGGGCGTGATCACTATTGTCAGTGAAAGTGATCACTCCAGAGCTCAAAGAAGAAGTGAAGCCTGGGCATTACCACTTTTGCCAGGAAAAGTGAGAGTTCCAGAGAGGCAAAATATCAGGAAAGCTCTGCGTAACTACTATTGTCATCGAAAGTGATCGTTCCAGAGAGCCTTCAACTTGGCGAGTTGCGCGTAGTCACTTTTATTCGTAAGAGTGGTCATGCGCAACCACTTGAGCTCTGCGGTGACACTTTTATCAGCAAGAGTGATAGTTCCAAAGAGCTCTCAATTCAGCAAAGTTACGTGTGGCCACTTTTTCTCATAAAAGTGTTAACGCGCAACCAATCAACCTTCTGCATAGCTACTCTTTTTGAGGAAAGTGATAACGCTCAAATCTGAAAATTTCTATAAATACCAGAAACGCTCAGATTTTTGAGATTCGATTCATTTTCAGTTTTGTTAATTAGATTGTCGTTGAGAGAGAGTGAGAGAGAAGATTGGGGTCAAGTCTTGAAGCTGCCAAAAAAAGGAATCTGATTGGAGCTTGCGGCCATGGCTTCTTGGAGTTCTTCTTCTTCTTCTTTCTCTTTCTCTTCTCCTATGTCTGAGTAGTTTCTTTGTAGTTAGGAGTTTATGGAACTCGAATTGATGTATTGATTTGATTCTTGCTTCTGAAATTCGAGTATTTGGATTAATGGAGATGTTAATTCTGCACTTTACCTAATCTTTGAATGGGAATTCATTTGATTAACCTTAGCGGAACATATGCCAATGGGAATTTGATTTGATTCTCTGATCTGAATTAACAACCAGAATTAGGGGTTTCTTAGGGATAAGTACACTTAATTCTGCAATCCTAATGTTCTAAGTCTTAATGCAACATGAAATTGAGCTTCACCTATGGGATTAGGGTGGTTTAGTTGCTTGTTAAGGTCAACGAGTTAAGGGATTAACCTTTGGCTATTAATATACGAAACTGATTGTCAATTAACCAAGTTCTTGAATGTTCAGAGGCATAATTGAATTAATATTGACATTCTTGTGAAGTAAATTCCTAACTATTCTTCATTCCTATCTTAATCCATCACAACTTTATTACACTATTTTTACTGCAAGTTAATTCTTTGTATTGTTCTGGTTTATTGCTATTATATGTTACAAATCTCACTCAAAATTCGTATGGCTCAAATGGTTGTAATTCTATGAATTGATACTTGAAATCTAAATTCCCTGTGGAGACGACATCCTGTTCTTAAAAATCACTCATTACTTGCTGCAATCCTAGTGCACTTGCTAGTGTTAGATTGTAAATAACAAGTTTTTGGCGCCGTTGCCAGGAAATTTTGAATTTCAATATCATTAGTAGCAGAAAAGTAGCTAGATTGAGCATTTATTTTTTGTTGTTTTACTTTCAAGTTTTTTTGCATGATTTTTCTGCATCTTGTGTAGTTTTTTGCATAATTTCTACACTGTGTTTGCTGCATAAAGTTTTGTATTCTTTTGCATTTTCTGCATAATTTTGTTTTTCATTTTTGTGCATAATTGTAATTTCTATTCTACATAATTTCTACATGATTTTACAATTCTGCAGTTGTTAGACTTGAATTTTATATGCTTTTGCTGATAGCTTTTGCATAATTTCTATTGTGCATTTCTGAATACTGATTGTAGTCTAATTTGGTTTCATTTTGACTTGTATATGCGTGGTAAAAACAAGAATAAATCAATTCTGGTCTTTGATCCTAACATAGACATAACCCTAAGAAGATTGAGAAAAGAGTCTAGAGCAGAAAAATTCATAGAAAGTGATAGTGATTTAGAGGTTGTCTATTCTCCAGAAATTTAGAGCAATCCTAGAGTGAAAAGAACACCAACACCTTTGAGACAACCAAATCTAGAACCAGAAATGGCAGACCAAAACAGGAATAGAACCTTAGGGGATTATGCAATTCCTAATTTGCAAGGCTTTAATTCTTCTATAATCAGGCCAACTATCCAAGCCAATCATTTTGAGATTAAACCTGCCTTATTACACTTAGTTCAACATGATTAGTTCTCAGGAGGAAATTCTGATGACCCTAACCTACATATCTCAAATTTTTTACAGCTATGCGACACAACCAGGATAAATGGGGTCAGTGAAGAAGCAATCAAACTGAGATTATTCCCTTTTTCCTTGAGAGACAGAGCTAAGTGTTGGCTTCAAGCTCAGCCACAGGGCAAAATTTCTACATGGGCAGATTTGGTGAACAAATTTCTGGTTAAGTATTTTCCTCCTTCAAAAGCTGCAAAAATCAAAGGGGAGATTACATCCTTTGTTCAGCAAGATGGAGAGCCTTTGTATGAGGCATGGGAAAGATACAAGGAGTTATTAAGGAAGTGTCCTCATCACTACATACCTGAATGGATGCAGCTTGAAACTTTCTACAATGGAATGACTGCTGCAACCAAAACTATGATTGACGCAGCAACTGGAGGATCACTGAGTTCAAAAACATTGGAGGAAGCTCAGCAGATTATTGAAATGATGGCATCTTCCATGTACCAACATGTGAATGAAAGGCAAGCTGCAAGGAGAGGAGGATATGATGTAAAATCCATAGAAGCCATGTTTGCTCAAAATCAACAATTTTCTGAACAGCTTACTGCTTTGACTCTACAAATAAGTAACATGCAGACTGGTGTGGTCCAAAATTCACAATTGAGTTGTGATTTCTGTGGTGGCAACCATGTGAATGGAGCTTGTGATCCCACAGCTATAGAACATTCTGATCAAGTCAACTATATGGGCAATTATCAAAGGCCACAACAACCATACCCACTTGGTTTCTAGCCAAATAACAATAGAGGACAACAGTTCTCCAAGTGGAATCCACAAAATTCTAATGCAAGAGGAAATACAGCTACTGCACCTTTCCAAAGTGCAGCACCTCAATTGCAACAGCAATACTTCCAAGGGAATTCCTCTGCACATTTTCAGAAGAATCAAGGGTACTCAAATGAAAGACCCTTGAGTGAGAAGGTGAATGGGCTAGAAGAAACATTATTGCAATTCATGAAGATAACAGAAACAAATTTTAAAAATCAAGAAAGTTCTATAAAGAAGCTAGAAACACAAATTGGGCAGTTGGCTGAGCAACTGGCCAATAGAGATGAAGGAAGGTTTCTTAGCAGCACAATAGTGAACCCAAAGGAGCAATGCCAAGCCATAACCACTCGAAGTGGAGCAGTGGTTTCCAGCCCAAGAAAGAAAAATGAAGTCACCAGTTTGAAGGATGAAAGTAAGCTGAAACAAGAAGATTTTGAAAGTGGGAAATAAAATATGCTTAAGAGGGGAGAAGAAGAAGAAAATTGCAGTAACAATCAAGAAAAGAGGGGAAAGAAGCAGAGATTTGAGCAGGCCTGCAAGCCTATTAATGAAGAGCAGTACAAGAGATTACCTTTTCCAAAAAGAGTACAAGATCCTAGACAAGAAAAGCAGTTTGAAAGGTTCATTGAAGTGTTCAAAAAACTCCAAATTAATATACCATTTGTAGAGGCATTAGAACAAATGCCTTCATATGCAAAGTTTATGAAAGAGCTCTTGTCTAAAAAGAGGAAGCTGGACATGGAAAAATTGGTACCACTGATATAGCTTTGTCGAACACTTATCAAATGCACAAGGTTTTCGCAATTATTTGTAGAATAATGTCAACCAAGGTCAAATTCTCGAGGACACGTTTGTATCTAATTCTTCTTTGCCGAATTGTTAAAATGAAACAAAAGATTGGGGAATTTTGAGAGTTTAAGAATAATCTGATCAAACGCATAAAATTCTGGAATAAAAGAGAAATCTAATGAGAATTAATTGATCCACAAGTCATAGGTTCATGCAAACAACATCCCTTATTGTTTCCCTAATTTGAACATCTAATCCATTAACTAATTCAATCGAATTTGCTAACAAACTAGATTACGAATTTGACTAATAGATCTATCAATCTAATTCAATTTCATGAATCAAACTACAATCGCAATTCAATTCAATTCCTATCCCCAAACGTTATCAATATTTTGAAAAACGAAAGAGAAGAGGAGAAAAGAGAATTCAAACTTGGAGCCACTCTAAATCTTCCTTGCAATTCCCTATTCCTTGTGTATCAATCCAAGAAGCCTAGCCTTCCATTGAATCCAATGCTCAGCCAAGTCAAGAAGAGAGAAGAAGAGAGAAGAGAGAGAATTCGAGAGAGAATTTTAGGAGCCAAAACCGAATTTTAAAAGTGTGTCAAAACAAAAACCAAAAAAACCGTCTTCAAAGTGGAGCCTCTAACATATTAATAGGCACCACTTATGATCAGATCCAACACTAAAGGGAGGGCCCACAAGTGTGATTAAACAGCCCAAATTACAAACTAATGAAATGTTAATACAAATGAAATGAAATTACAAGAACAAAATTCGAATACAAAATTTCTGCACAAATTTCCTAACTTTAAAAATTCATAGAAAATAGAAAACAGCTCCAATTTGGACGATATGCATATAAATTTTATAGCCCAGAAAATGAAGAATCCAATGCAACTGGAATCAGACCGAACGGACATCTATGGAAAAAGTTACGATCAAAACAGTGAGTGCAGGTCTGAAAACAGAATTTAGACATTAATTGAAATTTAGTTCCTATCATCCAATTAACTAGGAAATGCCATAATTTGTGAAATAAGGGAACATGAAAGGTAATTTACACACTCTAAAGGATTGAAAATGTGCACAAATAATGCATGCTATCAAGGGTACAGGGTCTTCTCGCTGCAGTGAGAGAGGTCTCGCTATAGCGAGAAGGCCTTGGGACGAAGGCGTGAAACTGTCGCCTTCTCACTGCAGTGAGAGGTCCCTCGCTGCAGCGACAAAGCGAAAGTTTGGGGTGCAATTCTGGGTGCAGTCTCTCTATAGCGAGAGGGTCTTACTATAGCGAGATTTTGCAGAAACCAAGATGCAATTTTCTTTGAGATTTTTTCTGTAGCGAGAGAGGGTGTCACTATAGTGAAAGTGTCGCGACTAGAGGGGTATTTGAAAGGGTTAGGTTTTGGGAAATTCATTTTCCCATTCCTCTCTTCAAAATCTCTTTAATTCTCTCGACCCAAAACCCTATTTCACTGATTAAATTGCCTCCAAAGTCATTCATGAGCTAGATTGAAGGTTGAATTCTAGTTGGGAACACTTGGAGGTGAGTTTTAATGGTTAGGGTTTCAGGTTCTCATCCTTATTCTTTGTCCTCTTGGTTTCCCTTGGTTCTCTTGGGATTCTTTTGTGTGTTTAGGACAAAATTCGTGTGGGAAGCACTTTCTAGAGCTGAATTCGCGTAAGGGGGATTCTACTATATCTTATTATGTTTTGATTTCTGTTTATTTTGCTAAATATTGCAATATGGTTGAGATAGAGGGTAGGAAATGTGTGCTAATGGAAGTTATTGTGTTTGAATGCAATATGATGTGTGATGAGATAGTTGAAACCATTGTGGGTGAGTGGGTATTGTGAAATGCCATTGATTGGTGATTTAATAATGTGATTTCAATGTGGGCCTGCATGTTGTGTATTATGAATGAATGTGGGCCTGTGTGCCGTGTACAAACATGAATATTATGTGCAATTGAAATACGTGTGAATGAGGCATGTTAAATGCGGTTGTAATTATGCTATGAATGGTTCAGTGATACACTGTACGTGTGGAAGATGGGGACGATAAAAATATTTTGGGGAAGAGAGAGTGGTGGTGACACCAACAGTAAGCGTGGGTGCACCACAAGCCACACACTCTCCTCCTGACTAGACTTCTAACTAACACCTTTATTGAGCGACTCGTGACCGCCGACATGGTATCCGTGAGGTGGGGGTAACCAGCGACCATCCATGGTGTGAATCTGTTATCACAATGCCACAGTGAGCGTGGCTATGTGCAGTGAGCGCACGTGTGTGTGAAATATTTTGGTGCCGTGAGTGCATTGGCTATGAATTAAAATGAAATGCTTGAAAGTGTTGTCTGTGATTGCCTGTACTTAAGTAGATTATGTTAGAATACATGTGGGTGCGCAAGGTGAGTCTCTATGTTATGTGTGTTTTCGATAGTGTAGAGTACTCACCCTTACATTTATTTTTCAGGTGAACAAGACGATTAGCACCGGGCTCAGTGAAGGGATGGATGAACTGCTATAGGACTCATATTTTATTTTGAAATTATGATGTAACTGAATTAGTCCTGTAGCAGTCATTTATATAAACTTGTAATCCCTTATTGTTTTGAAATGTTTGATGAAATTCTGTGATGGGAAATTATACTTAAATGAAAATTTTATTATATCGGGCTAAAGCGACCAAGCTGACTGTTGATTTGTTTTGTTTGCCTGAATTATAAATGTGTTATTGGTCTAATGTACTGGAACATGGTTTGTTGATTTGTTGTTAGCTTAGATTAAACATGGTTGGTAGAGGTAGAGGAGGTAGAGGCACCAATGACCTCATGGAGCACATGGCTCAAATTCTAGAGACCTTGGTGCATAACCAAGGTAGAGAGCCGGCTAAGTACCGAGGATTGTCTGCCTTCACTAGGCACGATCCTCCCAAGTTTAAGGGCAGATTTAACCCTGAGGGAGCCCATAGGTGGTTGACAGATGTTGAGAAGGTCTTCAATGCAATGAGGTGCCGTGAAGAGCACAAGGTGGCCTATGCCACATACTTATATATAGAGAAGCAGAAGAGTGGTGGAGGTTTCCAGTCAAACCTTGCCAGTCAGGTGGAGAGTGTGTGGCCCGTGATGCACCCATGCTCATTATTGGTGTCACCACCACCTTCTCTTCCCCAAGGTATTTCTACTGTCCCTATCTTCTGCACCTCGAGTGTACCGTTGAACCATTCATAGTTTCTCAACATATTCAAAGACAACCATCATGCCATTCACATATATTTCAATCATTTCACATTATTCATTATCAACCAATGGCATGTCCAAACATTTTCAACTATATTACACTCAAACATACAAGTTTCATCACCATCCTATTGCAAATAAAGTCATTTCATCACACACAACATCCATTATCCATCACACACATTTCTCAATATCAATCACCTTACATTCCTCACCAAATTGCCATCAAAATCCAATCACAATCAAATGATACGAGGATAAATCCTTGTAATTAATTTGAATTGCTTGTCTTTTTCAGTCTACTGTAATGTTGAGGATGGATTAGTTTTGTCCAATCATGTCCTTTTGATACGAGGATAAATCCTTAATTCTAGGTGCTTATGTACCACTTGTTTATGGACTTTTGTCATGAATGACTCAAAGAAAATATAGGGAAGATCATAATGTTTGTGACTGTGTTTCATCTTGGAATAAAACCCTTCAAAATGGAAGTGCTCCAATAAGAGAAAAGTTGGAAATAGAGCTATCGCATAAAGATAAACTCGAACTCATTATAGATCTTATGATGGAATTTAGTTCGATGTGGATCAAATAATATCACACTTCAATCACGGGATCATTCAAAATAAGAGGACTCAATGTAAGGATCATTATAGAAATGGTTAATAGTGGTGATGTCCAACATTGGACTTGCCTCAGCCTTTCAGTCTGAACAGAGATGTGCCATATCTACATACTGAAGAAATGATCAAAATGTGTTCTAGCAAGATAATAATATAAGTTGGATCTCTTGTTAAAAGATAATTCTAGCAGAGAAGTCGTTAAGTATGTCCTTGGATGAACGAAACAACATGAGAAAATTCACTGATGTATGTCTTTGGAGTAAGATAACGAAGTTTGCACAAAGATCTATGGATGCTATATTGATAGAAGAAATCAACAATCACAAAAGTCTAAGTATGTGTTTAGATACAAAGGTTAAAGGATGGTGAAATGAATAAATAGAATTTCTGGACAATTATGATTTAGAGTAGTCGTACTAATCTAATAAGGCAAGGGCAAAAAAGGCAATGGGAAATAAGGAGTTATCGTACATCAAAGTAGTGATGGTAAAGGGAGTGCTAATTGGGGAAAGAATTCAAAAGTTTGAACCTGACACTAGAGTGTGATGTGCCTTTCCTTGAGGTTTTTGTGGATGAGTAACATCATTCCCGTGCAGTCTAGGTGTATGTATGAGGTGATGTGATGTAGATGAGAACATAAAGATATAGTGTCCTGCTACAGTGTTAGCTAACTAATCTAATTCAAAGGGTTTTGTAAGATGTTGGGGTAGCTAAAGTTCTGGAATGTAAGAGATTTCTAGGAGGATACGAGTGTTGGCAAGTGAATTTCAAGGAAGAAATTTCTAAACGGGTGGAAGAGTTGTAACACCCTAAATTTGGTAATAATAAATTGACTGTTAATATAAGTATGTGTGTTGTTAATTGGATGTGCATCTTGATTTATGTTGGTGATGTGGATGTGTGTATATATATAAATATATGTGAGTGTTGACTTGGATTGGCTGAAGTTGATTGGACATTTAGACTGAGGGTGAACTGTAGCGGCATTCTTGCTGTAGCGAGAGTATTCTCGCTATAGTGAGAAGATCCTGGGCAAGTGACGTGCATCTGTTTCGTTCTTGCTGTAGCGAGAGGACAACAGAGAGGGTGTTTTTTGGGTGTAGTCTTGATGTAATGAAAAGGTCTCGCTGTAGCAAGAATATGCAGAAACCAAGGTGCAGTTTGGTCTAATATATTCGCTGTAGTAAGAAGGGGTCTCGCTGTAGCGAGAGATGTCTTGTTGTAGCTAGAATGTCGTGACTCTTAGGGTATTTAAGGGATCTAGGGTTGGGGAAAACACATTTCCCACCTTTTCTTTTGTTTCTCTCTCGATTCTCTCAATTCCTAGCCCTTTTTCACCGATTGAATTACCTCTAGAGTCGTTTGTGCCTTAGGTTGAAGGTTGGGATTAGGTTTGGAACGTTTAGATGTAAGTACTGTGTGTTAGGGTTTTTAGTTTTTACTCTTTCTTCATTCTTCTTGATTTCTCATGGATTATTCCATGTATTTAGGGCAAGAATTTGTGTATGGAGCATTTCTACCATTGATTTTGTGGTGGGTCTTTATTCCAAGGTAAGGGAAGTTGATCTCAAACCCTAACTCCTCTTGGATAGTTTGAATTGAAAAACTCTTACTTTCATAACTATCTAAATATAACTTGTAGTAAAAGCCCCGAATACAACTATTTTAAGGAATATTGTGATTTGTCTAAGCAATCATTATTTAGGAGTAGTTAGGATTTGCTATTTGTTGTTTTTGGAATAGTGGACATGTTATTAATAATGGATTATGCCAAACATTAGGATAGACGACCTTATTATCTATGAGAAAATGTTCGATCTTCGGCACATTGTATTGATCTGTGTGATGTATGGACTTGTTTGAAGATTTTCTATGTTGAATGTATGTTTGTTGATGATTGAAGTATGTGGAAATTGATTGAATGAGGTTGTTAATGAAAACTGTTATATTATTCTTGAATAAGAATATAGTTTGATGTATGAAATGAAATGATGTGACATAATGGTGGAATTGTGAGAAAAGTGATTATAATACAGGAGTCAGAATGATTAATGGATGTGATTATAATACAGGTATTATGGTACATCTAAAGGGTGTATTCATAATACATGTATTGTAATACACCAAGTTATGTGGTCAAGACTCACGTATTATGACACGTTGACCTGTGAGAAGGATATGGAAAAGAATGAGAAATATTGGTGATGAGTTTATATAACTACATAGATACACTGGGGGTATAAAGTCCAGAGAAGATTTAGGAAATCTTGGGAAAATAAGGGTGATGAATGCTAAGTGTGAATAAGTGCACAATGATTTACTAAAAGTGAAGGCATTCACAGGCCACACACTCATTTTCTAACGAGACTCCTGACTATACCTTTGCTAAAAGGGGCCAGATCAGTACACGTGTATCCTTGTTGCTGTGGCTAACCAGCGTGATGTATATGAAGTAGTATAGAAGTTGTATGATTATAATAGATGCATTGTAACATATCGGTTGATGTTGTTATGATATGTGTGTTGTAATACATTGATAAGTGCGATTAGGACAAATATATTGTGACATATTGATCGACCTGGTATAATACATATATTATGACGTACAAATTAGTAGAAAGATGCATGTTACAAAAATTTGCAAAGATGATTGATTGTTTGTTTTGTGTGTACTTTGTTGTGATAGTGAATTGTATAGTTTGAGTGTCATTGTTAATTCAATGTATATTAGGTAATATTTTCAGTATTATATATATATATTTATCTTCCTTCTGTCAAATACCCTTAGTAACACTTTTCAGGTAACGAAAGTAAAGAGATCAAGATGGTTGGTTTGTTCTAGGACCATAATTCAGTGGTATTGGAAAGAAGACTGCTTTGTAGGGATTAGAATAATTTGAGAAATTGTAATCTTTTATTCTAATTACATCTTAAATTGCCTAAGATTTGTAAATGATTTTAAATGTCAAATTTTAGAATTCATAATGCTTTAGGAAATTTTGTTGTAATGAATAACTTGCTAGATGTAAATTTAAGTTTTATTTATTACTTTAAAGTCTTGAAATTATTCCTTAAAAATTTTAAATACTTGAAAATCTTTACAAAATTTACATAAGGGAAATGTAAGCTTTGTTTTTATTCAATTTTTAAATCTATGACAAAAAAATTGTTTACTTTGAATACGAAAATGAGGATGTTACAAGAAGTCACACGAAAAAGTAAGAGCTCCCTGGACCAAGTCTTACTCAAGTGAGAAAGGATCTCGCCCAGGCAAAAAGGGTGAGATTATCAGAAATGGAGAAGATATTTTTTGACTAGTGTTCTCGTCTAGGCGAGAAGGGTCTCGCCATGCGAGAATACTTCTCGCTCAAGTGAAAATATGAAAGCTTAAGCAAGAATGCGTGACTTTAGAGAGGTATTTAAGAAACTTCCGTTCTAAAATTTTGCATTAGAAGCCAAACAACCTTCCTTCATATTCCTCTCTGTTCTCTCACCTTCCCTTCCCAAAATAAAAGTCCTCTGAACTCTGAATCTCTTTCAATATGAACTAGAACACATATTCAGTTCCAAGTAAGTTTCTCAGAGCCTAATTCTCCACCTTCACTTTTATTCCTTTGTTTTCTTTTTCTCAAAAGTTTTATACTTATAATATTTAAGAAAATTTTGGTATTTCAGACAATATCCTCTATGGGAAACATGTACCTTTCTTTTTGATCTCATGGAGAACATGGCCTTAGAGACACCATCCCTCATTCCTTTATTGTGAAAGACTTATTTCCAGGTAAGGGGAGTTAACCCCAAACCCTGATCTTGAGACAATCAACAAGGAGTAATGGTTATGAGGCAAAACTTCTTGAGACCTTTTTGACTCAAAATTAGCTGCAAAACCAATTGTTTTTTGAGCAAATAGCTGCACTCACCCAACAAATCAGCAACTTACAAGCTGCACCAATACAGAACACTCCACTTGTGTGTGATTTTTATGGAGGGAATCATGTAAACGGAGCTTGTGATGGAAATAATTTCGAATCTCAAGAACAAGTCAATTATATGGGGAATTTTCAGAGACAACAATCTTCATTTCCCCATGGTTTTCAATTCTCTAACAATAGAAACCAACAGCAACATAGCTGGAATAACCAGAACTCTAATTGGAAAAATTCTAACTCTGCTGTTCCATTTTCAAATGCAGGACCAGCAACACAACAACCTTATTTCCAAGGGAATCCAGCCAACCAACTTCAAAAAAATTAGAGGTTTTCTAAACCACTGAATGAAAGGCTGAACGAAATGGAAGAAACCATGCTACAATTTATGAAAGTAACACAAATAAGCTTCAAGAATCAAGAATCTTCCATGAAAAAATTGGAAACACAGATTGGACAGTTAGCTGAGCAACTGTCCAGCAGAGAAGATGGGAGATTCCCTAGCAACACAGTTATAAATCCAAAAGAACAATGCCAAGCTGTGATGACTAGGAGTGGAGCTGTTGTGGGTAGTCCAAAACCAGCCGAAAAAAGAGAGAAAACCAAGGAAGAGGAGAAGATTAAATCTGATCTAGAGGAAAGGAACTTCACCTTATTGAAAAGAGAAAATTCAAAAATGGATACCTTCCCTAAAACTGTGAGAAGAACAAAGAGGCAAATTTTAGAAGATTCAAACAAGCCTCTAGATGAAGAGAAATACAAGCGACTGTCTTATCCACAAAGAGTCATCAATCCTAAGCAAGAAAGGCAGTATGAGAGGTTTCTAGATGTCTTTAAGAAGCTCCAAATCAACATACCATTTGCTGAAGCATTAGAACAAATGCCTTCATATGCAAAATTCATGAAGGAGTTACTGTCCAAGAAGAGAAAGTTAGAAAATGACAAGACAGTCCCTTTGACTGAAGAATTGAGTGCTATTTTGCAGAGAAAGCTGCCTCAAAAATTAAAAGATCCAGGCTCATTCAGCATTCCATGCTTTATTGGAAATTGCACAATAGGAAAAGCTTTGTGTGATCTTGGGGCAAGCATCAACCTTATGCCTCTTGCCATCATGAAAAGACTTGGAATAGAGGAAGCTAAGCACACAAGCATCACTCTACAACTTGCGGACAGATCATATACTTATCCATATGGTATTGTAGAGGATTTATTGGTTAAAATTGAGAAGTTTATTTTCCCCGCATATTTTTTCATTTTAGACATAGAAGTGGATGCCGATATTTCTTTAATATTGGGCAGACCTTTCTTAGCTATAGGGAGAGCTTTGATTGATGTGCAAAAAGAGGAATTAATGCTTAGAGTGTAGGATGAAAAGGTTACCTTTAATGTTTTTGAAGCACTTAAACATCCTAGTGATGATAGCACTTGCATGAGAGTTGATATTTTAGAATCTATTTCATTTTCTCAATTAATTGATAATGCTGATGAATTTTCTATGTTAAGGGAAATTATAGTTGCAGGGAATTCACAAGTTGCTGTAAAAAGAGAAGAAAAATTCATGGAATATGTTCAACAACTTGAAACACTGCCTATTATCCCTTTATCTGAAAATTCAGCAAGAGAGGAACTGAAAAAAGAAGAGGAAGAAGAGAAAGTGGAGAAACTTGAGCTGAAGCAATTGCCGTCTCACTTGAGGTACTCTTTTCTAGATCAAAGACATCAATATCCAGTGATTATAAGCGATAATCTCAAGGGAGATGAAGAAGAAAAGCTGCTGAGAATTTTAAGGAATCACAAATCTGCAATTGGATGGCACATCTCAGATTTGAAAGGTATTAACCCATCCTTTTGTAGACATAGAATTCTGTTTGAGGACAACTACAAGCCAGTAGTACAGCCACAAAGAAGGTTGAATCCAGCCATGAAGGAAGTGGTTAGAAAAGAGGTAATGAAGCTATTAGATGCAAGGATAATTTACCCAATTTCGGATAGTCAATGGGTCAGCCCAGTTCAAGTTGTTCCTAAGAAAGGAGGAATAACTGTAGTGGCAAATGAAAAGAATGAATTAATACCCACTAGAACTGTCACAGGCTGGCGCATGTGCATTGATTATAGAAAGCTTAATGATGCAACAAGGAAGGATCATTTTCCCTTACCATTTACCGATCAAATGTTAGAAAGATTGGCTGGACATGCATTTTATTGCTTCCTTGATGGATATTCAGGCTATAATCAAATAGCGGTGGACCCTATAGATCAAGAGAAGATTGCCTTCACATGTCCATTTGGAGTATTTGCATATAGAAGGATGCCATTTGGATTGTGCAATGCTCCAGCCACATTCCAAAGAAATGTCAAGATACAAACCTTGTGCTGAATTGGGAAAAGTGTCATTTTATGGTCCAAGAGGGAATAGTCCTTGGCCATAGGATTTCTGAAAAAGGAATTGAGGTGGACCAAGCCAAAATTGAAGTCATTAGATGCCAAGCCAAGATTGCTGAGATGGATTCTACTGCTGCAAGAGTTTGAGCTAGAAATTAGAGATAAAAAGGGCAAGGAAAATGGAGTAGCTGATCATCTGTCTAGACTGCCATTGGACAGTTTGAACTCTAATTCTTTGGACATCAATGAAGAATTTCCAGATGAGAAATTATTTGTGGTGGAAGAATCACCTTGGTTTGCTGATTTAGCAAATTTTAAGGCCACTGAGCTGATTCTAGCAAAGTTTAATTGGCAACAAAGAAAGAAATTTCTGCATGACAGCAAATTTTATGTATGGGAAGACCCTTATTTGTTCAAAATAGGGGTAGATGGTCTGTTGAGAAGGTGTATATCACAAGAAGAACAAGCTGAAATTCTTTGGCATTGTCATAACTCAGAATATGGAGGCCACCATGGTAGCTCAACGACTGCTGCAAAAGTCTTGCAAGCAGGATTTTTCTGGTCAACATTATTTAAAGATGCCAAGAATTATGTTGAAAGTTGTGACAAGTGTCAAAGGATAGGCAATATCTCTAGAAAGCATGAACTGCCCATGAACAATATTTTAGAAGTGGAGATGTTTGACGTTTGGGGAATTGATTTTATGGGACCATTTCCCACGTCCTTTTCTCATGAATATATACTTGTGGCAGTAGACTATGTGTCTAAATGGGTGGAAGCCATCCCAACAAGGTCCAATGATGCTAAAGTGGTGATATCTTTTATCAAAAGAAACATATTCACTAGGTTTAGAGTACCTAGATTCTTACTAAGTGATGGAGGTACTCATTTTTGTAACAAATATCTTGATTCAGTCTTAGCAAAATATGGAGTGAGACACAAGATTGCTACACCGTATCATCCACAAACAAGTGGACAAGTGGAAGTTTCAAATCGAGAAATTAAACAAATCTTAGAGAAGGTGGTGAATCAATCAAGAAAGAACTGGTCCAAAAAGCTAGATGACTGTCTATGGGCATATAGAACAGCCTTTAAGACTCCAATTGGTATGTCACCTTATCAATTAGTCTATAGAAAGGCATGTCACTTACCTATGGCATTGGAACATAAGGCTTATTGGGCTACAAAGTGGCTGAATATTGATTTGGCAAAGGCTGGAGAAAAGAGGATTCTGCAGTTACATGAATTGGAAGAATTCAGACAGCAAGCCTATGAAAATGCCAAGATATACAAGGAGAAAACCAAAAGGATTCATGATAAATTCATCTGAAAAAGGGAACCCAAATCTAGACAACAAGTGTTGCTGTTCAATTTAAGACTGAAATTATTTCCAAGGAAACTCAGATCAAGGTGGTCTGGACCCTTCTTCATTAAAGAAGTATCACCTCATGGTGCAGTCTTGGTGGCAGATCCTAATACAGGAAGAGAGTTCAAAGTTAATGGTCAAAGGTTGAAAATTTATCATGGAAAGGCATTTTCAAAGGAAATTTCATGTGTTAAAGTGGTTTCTCTTGAATGAGAAACATCAAACGTCAAGCTAGTGACGTTTAAAGAGCGCTTGTGAGAGGCAACTCACGTTTCTAAAACTTGAACTCTTATAAATTGAAGTTTAGATGTTGAATTTCTAGTTAATTTTGAGTCCTAGTAGGATATTTTGTTGAATTAGGTAGAAATTAATATTTTGAAATTTGATTTTTGATAAGGAAGTGTAGTGAAAATTTATTGGTTGTTTGTTGTGATTCAGGAAAAAAATTAGATGGTGAACTTAAGTTTCAAGATGAGTCATGATCAAGGAATTTAAATTGCAGAAAAATTATAGTTCTTAAGCTGATATGGAGGGAACAATCATGGGAGTTGAGACTTCAAGTGAGTAGAGTAACAACGCAGGAACCTTATGATATGTGCGTTGAAACTTTAAACACTTGAAGCCAACACGCGCAGACCAATAGAGAAGAATCTGAAGCGGAGAGTTGTGCGTTTCTACTCTAAACAGCTGAAGTTTCAACGCACAATTGCGCGCTGACACGCTAAATGGATAGAGCCAAAACACAGAAGCTCTGAGTGAAGAGCTAAAGAGCAGCAGTTGCGCGTCTTCACTCTACTCACATGACGCCTTGGCACACAAAACCGCGCCTTCACTTTAACTGTTTGAAGCCAAGACGCATTCTGAGTGCCTTACACAGAGCAACTGCGCGCCTTAACGCCAACTAAATGAAGTTGCCACGCGCAGTTATGCGCCTTCACCCTAGCTGTTTGAAGCCAACACGTGCAAAGGTCAGATCTTTAAACCTTAACTTCTTTCATTTTAAAGTGAGCACGTGAGCTGCATGAGGGTTTTAAGTTGAAACGCAGAACGAGTGAAGTAGCCACGCCTGAGGTATTTTTGAACAAAATTTTCTGCGTGATTACTTGCCTTATTTAAAGCCTTCACGCGTTCAGAGTTCTCACTTAAAACCCCCAGAGCCAAAGCGCACTGTGAAAAACCCTAGCTGCCCAGAAAACTTCATCAAAAATAAAAAATTTTCTACTTGTTTTAAACTGAATCTGAGACTTAATTCCACTACATTATCACTGTTGAGTAAGTCTGTATCAGTTCTACACTCCATTTCTAGGTAATTTTCATCAAATTGCAAAATTTAAATTTTAGGGTTCTTCTGAATCTGATTTGGGGATAATTTGGGGATTGTGATTTGGGAGTGAATTATGTTTAATTGATGATTGGAACATGCAATTAAGGTGTGATTGAATTGAATACATGCCAGACCTGTAATTTTTAATGAGAATTTGAATCTGCATTATGAATTTTCCTTTTGTTCCTTTGCTGAGTATGTGCAGAAATATTGTCGTAAATAATTAGGGAATTTTGTTGACAAATTCGTACAATGTAGCACTGAGAATGATGCAAAACATGTTCTGTGAAATGCTGAATGAATTTTCATCAGTCTAATATCTAGAAAAAGAATTCAAATTGAATTTTATAAGTACTAGTGTGCTTTTTAGTACTGTAAACTGTTAATCAAGACACTCTGGATTATTATTTTGATGAATTGCAGTGATTTGTTTTGCATTTTATACTTTTTTTATCATGAAACTTTGATCCTGCAGTTGTTGTCATACTACTTTCCATTTAGCACATTGTCATGGAAATTAAGAGTTGAGTTGAACCTGAAAACTTTGGACATAGCTAAATACTAGAATTATAACTTACTGATGGTTCACATAAGCTTTAAGATAGCATATTCTCTGTATTTGGAGTTAGGAAAAATGCTACACATGTTGAATTAATTTTTGCACACTTGGTTAAATTTTGAACTCATTATTTCTTGATATAAAATTGTGATAAGTACTGAAAAAATGACAAGCACACCAAGGGGGAACTCCCAAAGACAAAACGAGGCAGATTTTCAGAAAGTCCTTCTTCAAGAACAATCCCTTCTGCTATTTACATCTTAATACAAACTTGGAGCATAAAATACAGTTTCTTGGACCATGGAGTAAATGACCCTTACGCACATCTTAATACAAACTCACAAAAGCACCTTTTTATTGAAAATCCAGCTGAACTTGACGCCATGCGGCTTCATCTTGCGCGCTCGCTTCTCGGCTCGCTCCTGGAACTTCCTAATCCTATGTGGTAATCCACACACAAAATCCTGCGCCCTCTCTCCATCAGCCGTCAAACCGTCAATCTTTTCCAATCTCCACCGTCTGATCAGAAACTCCAAGATGTCCACGTAGTCACTGACCGTGTACACGCCCATACGCTGCGACACCGCGGAATAGTGCTCCAATAGCCTGGGATCCTCCCCATCGTACATAAGGTGCGCTGGCATCGTAATCTTCTTCTGCATCATGTCCCCTATGGCCACCATTGCTCCCGTGGGGTCCACTTCTAGAAGCTTCTCGACGATTCTCGAGTACGCATTCTCGTGTCGCTTCTCGTCCGCAGCAATGGTCCCGCATATGCGCGCAAGCACCGGATCACCGCCCTCTTTGGCAAGCCGAGCCGTGTTGCCGTGAGCTATGAACGTCGCTCGCTCTTGGACTGACGTGTACACAAACCCTAAGTACGGGTTATTCTCCATTCCAGCATCCTACATTTCCAAATGAAATAAATTAGAATATTGCATTTTTCTTAAAAAAAAACAACGATTTTATTAATATTATAATTTAAGTTCGACTTCAAATATATGAAAATAATATATTTTTATTAGAAAATTAAAATATCTATCATATTATAAATTTAAAATAATATTAAATATTTTTTAACAAAAATTCATTACTTTTAGACACTTAAATTCAAGATAATGTTCAATTTAGGTGACTTTGTAACTAAGTTTTTATCATAAGAGAAGTATTGTGCTATGCCACTCAGTGTGTATGAGCTTGTAGGTGATGATTTCTTATAATATCTACCATTTTCTGCTTATGATAAAGTATAAGTTAATTTTAATATATAAATATTTATTATGATGTTTATTCAAACCCATAGAATCTTGTCAACCGGATTCACGTGAAAGTAAAGGATAGATATTATAAGAAGTATATATTGTGATATAACTACTCACCATGCCAGCAGCAATGAGGTAGTGGATGGTCTTCTCGATCATTTTCATATCAACTCGACCAGAAAGATACAAATAAGTTTTGAGCAAATCTCCGTGTCTATTTTCTTCTGCGCTCCAGGCCCGGTTCCACACAGCCCACGGGCTTGGGCTGGTTCCATAATCATCTCTCACTCCATCGAGATTATTCATCACTGTCTGGTAAGTGGGAAGCGCCTCTTCCGTGATCATGTCACCGACGAGCACCACAAAGTACTCGTCGGGTAGCTCTTTGGTGGTGTCTTGAAGAGCCTTTACCTGATCCATGAAGTCATGGAAGGGTAAGGAAGAGTCAGGCACAAAGTTCTGTGGCTGCCAGCTTTGCTCAACGGGCTTAAGAAGTGGTAGGACTTGCTGGGAAGCCCAGCCCTCAAGTGACTTGAAAATCTCTTGCTTTTCCGGTGGCATTGAGTGCGTCTTCCGCTTCTTCATGAGCGGCGGCGCTGCCACGGAAACGGTGGCTCTCGGTGGTGCCATGCAAATGTGGTGGGCACTTCTTGGAGTCCATGCAAGTGGAAGAGTTAGCATTTGCATGTTCTAGTTTTCGTTACGTGTGATTATGTGTGGCTTGCCCTTGGGTTGTGAGCTCTGAAAGTTAGAAACTCAGAATGAAGGTGGAAGGTATTTGTAGGGGTGTAATTTGGTACTAACCCTTCTTTGGATTAATGGTTTTGGCATTGATGTTGATCAATTTCTTACTTCACTTATTTTTTAGCTTTTAAATTAATTAACGATTTAAAAATAATTTGGTTGAGTTCTGAAAGTCTTTTCTTACCGTGTGCATTCATGATGATGGCAACTAATGCAGGTCCTCATGTCATACGATTCTGGTTGGGTTAGCTTTCATCTGCAGAAGGAAATTAAGGCCCTGTTTCCTAAGATTTTATCACGTTATTCTTATGTGTGATATAAGTTTAAAAACTTTTATATTTTTTTAATTTATATTTAATGAGTTATAATTTATTATTTTACACAACTATAAATATATATACACGCACTCGTTCACGAAGGCAACAAATGCAGGTGAACATGTTATACGATTCTGGTTGGCTTGGCATAATGGCATTTATCTGCTAAAGGTAATTTCAATACTTAATTGTAGCGAGGCGGCATGGCTGATCCTAATCTAGGTCACAGGAAATAAAGGCCTGTCCCCCCATAATATTTTTGATAATATAAGTATTTATGTTTAAAAATCAATATTTTTAGAATAATATTTTCATTCACCGATGATTAATTACCTGGTATCTACCTCCGTATGTAAAATAATAAGCAGTTTGAGACTTTGGTAAAATTAATGGCTACAGAAACTCACCTGCAATTCACGTGGAGTAATTCATTGAGATGTGACTAATGACTTAAATTCATTTTACGTAAAATATACATCTTTTAAATAATTGTATATTTAATAATTATATTTTAAATTTTTTATTTTATAATTTTCATAATTTTAGTCCATCGATTATCTCATAATTTATTTTAAAAAAAAGTTAAATAAGACTAATTCTATGTTAAATTATTATTCAAGAATTAATAGAAAAAAGGTTACACTGTTAATTGAGAATATTACTCTCCATCACTTTAAAAGTCACCAAAATAATTCTTATATATAAAAAAATAATCACATTATTAACTAACATGTATAACCGTTAATTATTTTAGTTTAAAAAGAATAACAAATTAATGAGTGTTTTTGTTCTTTTGCGATCACATAAATGTTGCCTAACCGATTGCTGCATGATATAATGTTTGCTAAATAATGTAATAAGTGGAATTAGGGACCTGTTGGCAAAGTTAGTTTCCTTATTATTTTGAGAAAAATAGTTAGTGTTAGTTGCCAAAATTGTTGGACAAGCTTCTAAAAATAGAAGTTAGTGGTTATTTTCAAAGGTTAAAAATAAACACCCTTGTGTAAATTTGGGCATCAAGAAAAATAAAATCCTTTGTTGCTCTTGAGAGCTAAGGGTGAGTGAAGTAACCATTGGGTAATCTACTCTTAATTGTTACAATTTGGTATCAGATTTGCCAGGGGACGATGGTAACCGCAAAGGAGCTTGAGACTCGCATGAATTTTTATGAGAAGAACCTCTCTAATCATCAAGAATTGGTTCAACAATCACTGGATACGATACAGAAATCTATTGAAGGGCTCACGACAGTGATAACAGCTTTATATATGACCAAGAAAGTCATACAAGAAGAAGAACCTCACAATGAATCGCTAAAAACGGTTCTTTCGATGGTTGAACGGGCACAAATCCCATTTCTTTCCTTCGATGGCTCTAACTTTCATGATTGGAAAGCGAAGGCAAAACAGTTCTTTGAAATGGGGGAAAGCCGTTTATTGTTGTTATCTATGGATGGCAAGGCTTTTGCTTGGCTAAGGCATTACATGCAAAACATCAATAATAAAGGGAAAACTTAGCAACATATCCTTCAGGATGCACAGAGCAAATTTGATACGGGTGCATTTGATGATCTAGTCGCTGAACTTGCAAGATTGAAACAAAAAGGGCCTTACTTAACTATCTTGAAAAGTATGACACGTTGCACGATTACAAGATGAGGTGCTTCAAGAAATGGCAAAGAAATTTTCACTAGAAAAATCAGTTAGTTTAGAATTATAGGTGAAATATACAACATCCTGGTCATCTACCTCTCCCAACAATAGAAAATATCCAATTACCACTTTGCATCATAATCAACCTCAATGTTCTACAACCTCAACACCAATGACAGATTCAAAGGTATCAACTGCAAACTCTATATCTTGAAAACAAATTAGTGAAAGGATTGCAAAGGGTTTATGTCTATTTTGTGGTGATAAATAGGAAAGAGATCATAAACAAAGGTGTAAGGTGTGGGGTAGGTTAAATGCCATTTTTAGTGCACAAGAGCAAATGGATGTTGACCTCACATCAGAATCAGATAGAGAGCAAGAAACTGAATTAGTTGAGCAAATTTTAAATTTACTTAGGGATACAAACTTTCATATATCCCTTAATGCCTTACAAGGTGTGGCTGCTGGTAACACTCTCCAAATGAAAGGCTTGATTAAGAAACAAGATGTGCCATTTTTAATGGACATGATACATGCAAATTGGATTAAAATTACAGCAATATTCTTTTGCGTAAAATTCCTAACTAGCAAGTATACTAGGTTGTTGTAGCAAGAAATAAAATTTAGAAATTAATATGAGTCCTAAGTATCGCCTACAAGAATCTTATTTTTCAATTACCAATTCACAATTCAACAATTATTGAGCCACACAATTCATTTGGAAGATTGTGAACATGTAAAAGTAAAGAATAAAAACAATGAAAAGTAACAAATGTGCTGTAAAAATAGAATACGAAATTTGAATTAAAAATGCTATATGTAAAATAGTTAGGAATCACTTCACCAGATTTTCAATTGCAATGCAATAATGTTCTGAACTCTTAAGAATTTTAACTTATTGATAATCAATTTCACTTCTTTAACTAAAGGACAATTCCTTGCCTCAGTGATCCTAATATCTAATTAAACCTTCTTAATTCCTTAGGTTAAATTCAATCAAACATTGCATTAAGTTCTAGAAATTATAGGATTACTAAATTATGATACTTATTCCTGATATCTCAATAACCTAGGCACATGATTCAGATATGAGAAATAAACTCAATTTCCATTGATGAAAACTCCTCTAAGTTCAATTGAATGAAGGATTAGTTCACAATTGCATCAAGAACAGAATCACATACTCAATTCAATTAAAATCTCAAGGTCCAGATCCAAAATCACATCATAATATCAAATCCAGATCCATAGATCCCTAACCAAAAAGGTTTAGAACAACATTACAATGGAAGAAGGAGAAATAAGAGAAGATAAAGACAAGAAGCAGAATAACATCTTCCAAGACCCAATCTTCACCTTGATTCCTCTAGCAATGAAACTTGAAAGTCACTCCCAACCTCTCTCTCTGACTTCTCTTGGAAGTTAAAACAATTACAAAGTGAAAAATAACAAAAAATGGACAAAAGTTCCAAATCTAAACTTTCTATTTATAGTGTTTTTCTCGCCTTTTCCACTTCCACATATTAATCTCTGAAGATTATAACATGAAAGGTCTTCTAAAAGCTTCTATAATTGAATTAGGAACTCAAATCGTCCAAACTAAACACTTAGAAGTGATTTTCAAAATTCTGTTACATGTGCTTAGACACTCTAAGTGGTCAGAGTGTTAATGCGCATGTGTTTTCTTATTTATATCAAAGACTGTTACAGGACTAATTCAATTACATCATAATTTTAAAATACAACCTGTCCTATAGCAGTTCATCCTTCCTTCACTGATTTCGGTGCTGATCGTCTTGGTCACCTGAAAAATAAATGTAAGGGTGAGTACTCTACACTATCCCACACACATGCATAAATAGACTCACCTCGCATATCTATAGGTGTTCTAATATATTCTACTCAAATCTAGGTAATCACAAGCAACAATTCAAACATTTCATTCCAGTTCATAAATGACGCACTCATGGCGCCAAATAATTTACACATGTGCACTCACTACACCTAGCCACACTTACTGTGGCACATAGTCATAGTTTCACATCATGAATGGTCGTCGTTACCCCCGCCTCATGAATACCACGTGGGTAGTCACAGGTCGCTCAACAAAGGTAATGGTCAGAGGTCTAGTCAGGAGGAAAGTGTGTAGCCCGTGGTGCACCCACGCTTACTGTTAATGTCACCACCACTCTCTCTTCCCCAAGGTATTTCTACTGTCCTCATCTTCCACACCTCCAATGTATCGCTGAATCATTCACAACATTATTACAACGACATTTACACGCCTCATTCATACACATTCCAATTTCACACAATATCCGTAGTCATTAACATTACACGGCACATAGGCCCATAGTCATTTGCACACACGGCACAAGTTCCCCTATTCATTCACCCCACATTACACACATGTCCATTCCATGCACACAACATTTCAACACGTCATTCATATTCAATCATCAATTCTTCATAAAAATTCACTCGAAATCAACCACTACTAGAATAGTGCCATTTACAACAGAAATAGATATACAGACGGATTTTTGGATTTTTATTTTTCTAAAATTTTCTAAAAAATTCATCTATAAATCTGTGTGTATTACAGATGAATTTTTGTCTGTCTGTAAAATTTGTCTGTACTTGGCCCGCCATTTGGCGTGAAGTATTATAGACAGGCAGTACAAACGAATTTTTTCATCTGTAATTTGAAAATGGGAGGGAAATTTGGAGCGGGAGTTACACACAGAAAAGTTCATCTGTAAATATTGCCATTTTTTACTGACTTTTCATCTGGCAATTTATAGACAAATTTTTCTGTTTGTAACTGTATTTAACAAATTTATAGACAAAAAAATTTGTCTATAATTTAAAAATGAGAGGAAAATTTGGAGCGAAACTTACAGACAGGAAAATCTGTCTGTAAATATTGTCATTTTTTGACTAAATTTTTATCTGACAATTTACAGACAGATTT